TCCAGCTATTGCCGGTATGATCCATTTCCCCACATAGTCGGGAAAGGGAGAGATTTGTTGGGCTTGGGTTTCCCTCATGTGGAGGATGGCCCAAACTAAAGCCCAAAAATAAAAGAAAGCAAAAAAAAAAAAAAAAATTGCAACAGCTTAATTCATTTTTTTGAGTGGGTGAATAGTGTGAAAAATAGGGCACTGTTCATTGATACAAAATATGTAGCAGTGAGAAAGAGACAGCCACACCAGGTTATTCCGACGACAATCCAACAGTGAATCTTGCTCTATTTTTGCTCAAATTTCAGAGCGTTGTTGTTAACGGCAAGATCTTCACATCCAACGGTCAGTTTTGTGATAACCATCTTTTTTTGTAGAGTTTTGCCTCTTGAGATACAGCCAAATCAAAGAGTTGAGTTGCAAAATTTTTCAGTCTGTTGGTCCTTATTCAACCTGACTATCGGAAGGTCATCTCTAGTCTGATCAACCTGATTTTTTGGTCAAAATGTAGAGGACGTTTGGCTCTTCAATCTGGACGGTTGGTTTTCGATTTTAATGGCTGAGTTTGGAGTTATACAGCTTGAATTTCGGGTGCTTTGCTAGTGATTTTACTCTTATCTTTTTGTAACCCTTTTGCGTATTTCATTTTGTTAGAGTTGTGTGGAATATTATTGGTGATTTGTGGCTGTTGCAAACACTTTTTTATTATAGTGGATTTAAGTGAATCATTTGATCCCGTGGTTTTTTAATCTCTTTACATCGAAGAGGTTTTTCTATGTAAAATTACTTGTGTCTCTTATGAATTTGATTGTTGTTTCAAGCATATTTGCTCACGGTTTTGCTCCTCAAAGATTCATTCAAGTAGGAAATATTTTGTTAGTGCATAACTTCCTTTTAGATTTCAACTCAACCCAAATCAAATAGAGCAGGTTCAGTTTTGTGACCTTTGTCTATATTTGAGAAATGACAAGGGGTTTATAATATTGTCTCCTTTCCATGCCAAACTTGAAATATGACCATCTATTAAAAACCAAAATTAGAAGGCCGACATCTATTCTTTGACAAGCATGTGGCTTCCACATGCCATGCCGCCTCCATTTCTACTTCATTCTTTTGTACTTTTAGTTTGAAATGACGCTTCCACCCACATATTATTCATTTGAGCAATACTACACCCATAATCTCTTTTCACAAATTTTTTCTTAAATTTTTTCTTACAACTTGTAATTGGTCAACTGTAATTTATCAAGTGGAACCTATTGCGAGCTGACCAATTACAAACTACCACATTAAGGTTGTGAAATAAAGTTTGTGAGTGTAACATTTTCCTATTAATTTTTATCCAGCTAATAATATACTAATATATTGTAAACCCAAAAAGTTAGGTCATCAAGTTGCATAAAAGACAAAGCTCATAACAGAGACTCTAATTTTTTTTTAATTTTTCTTAGAATAAATTGTTCACAAGAATTGCGTACAAGAGCAAGATACATAATCTTGTATTAAATTCAACAAATATAATTATATATATATATTAAAAATATAATAAATATCAATTTCATGAGACCCACCTAATCATCAAGTATCACATACATTCATGAATATGTCCTAAATGTTTTATTCTTTTACGTTTTATACAAAAAGAAATAACAAACTAAAACCCCAATAAAATATACCCATAAAATAATTTATATTGACCTTTATTTTAAAAAATATATATATTGAAAAAATAGAAAAGATGCCACTTACATCTTATTCCAAAATTGGTTTAAAACTTTTTTATGAAATTCTAAAGATCAGTCATATACCCTTTTTCCAAATCTTCATAAATCTAGAAGATATGCCTAATAAAAAGAAGAATTTAATGCTTTATATACAAACTTAAAAGAGATCACTAATAAAAAGATATACCTGAAAAAAGTAAAAGAATATAAAGTCTTATTCGCGTACCAATTCATTTAATTAATAGAATTAAATGTACAAATAATTTTGATACTGTTATGCCTAAAAAAAATCAGGGCTGGCATAAGCTTACATCAACGAGCATCAATCAGAGTTCAGGAGGACTTTGTATCACCCAGAATCTGCCACGTTGCCCAACCTAACAGGCTCAAGTTTTGTCTATAAATGAATTTGGTTCGCACACCTATCCAAACCCCATATAATTTAAGGATATCTCCTAATTATCAATCAATGAGATATAAGGAAGGACTTGCATGACACCTTCCCACTTGTAGACTTGTAACCATTACCTTAAATTCAGCGGTTATAAATAAAGAACTCCCCCTCACAAAATTGGGATGAGAGTTCTTTGAATTCAACAAAGCAAATAGCACAAACAACCCACGGGAAAGAGACTGGCTTAATATTCTCTATGAATACCAAGCTCTTGTAATTTTGTTCGCCCTTCGCGACCTCTTGTAAACTTGGCTAATCACCAAAAACCTTTATATAAAAGAAAACAGTGGATGTAGAAATCGTTTTAAGCATTCGAACCACTATAAAAATTCTCACTGTCTCCTTTAAATTAAGTCTTTGCATGCTATTGTGACCTTTAACCAAATATCACACATCTAATCACATGTAATTTTTAAGACTATCTTAACACTTTGCACATGTGAAGTCGTTGATGTCAAAATCATGCATCAACAGATACTAATTTATGAGGCCTTTTAATAATTGTCTGTTCACCCAATCGATTTTCAAGGAAATACATATAAGATATTTTTAGAGAATTTAAAAGGCATAATGAACTTATCGTTTTATTTGTGTTCAACTTCGATACAAATAAGACACTGCCATATGGATAAGAGTATGTTTAGTTTGGCTTATCTTATAACCGAAAGGGTTCATTTAAAGTTAGAGTAATGCTACAGCCACCGACGGTAGTGCACCGAATTTGTGCACCTAATGACGTAGCAAAATCCTGACCGTTGATTATTTTTAACTTAATATTAATTAACGATCAGGATTTTATCACGTCATTTGGTGCACTACCATCGGTGGCTGTATTATTTTCCTTAAAGTTATAAGCGATTTTCAAATCTTTTTCCTTTATTTGATTGCATTCAAAAGAGTTTATAGGTTTTAAAATAAACTATTTTTACCTCTTGTGAAAGAAGTTCGAAATTTGAGCTTTTTTCGTAAGCTCCTCTTTTTAAGCCTATTTAAAGTTTTGAAATTTCAAAAGTATCATTATTATATTTTATAAATTGGACTTAATTTATTCTTGTATACTAAAAAACCTTTTTTTTGTAAATTAACACTAGAAAACTCTTTTATATTTTCCTAACTAAGTTGCTAACAACTTTTTCATAAAAAGATATATTTTCATAAGTTGTACTCCAATAAACTCTTCTTTTATAAAGTTTACTCCAATAAACGGTAGCATACAAACCCTAATATAATAAGAAAAATTATTGTAATTCTTTTATACTGTACCAATCAAGCAAGTCTTTTAGTTAAACAGACGCGATACACATGTTCTTATACTAATTAGAGATAAAAATAGTTTAACACGCACAACCCTGTATTAATTAGACAAAGATATTAAGACATCATATATACATAAAAATGAATTTACTAATACAATACACAATTGTCATGTCTTCTACTATACTAACTAGGCAAGATTTTTATACAAATAAATTTGATATACTATGCTAATTGGATAAATACAGAAATAACATGACATACGTCCTAGTACCAATTAAACAATGACATTAATACATCATGTATACATATAACTAAACTTACTAATCAATACATAATTATTATTATTCTTCGATTGTACTAATTAGACAAGTCTTTTTTTATGAATAAACATGATACATATGCCCTTACACTAATTAGATGAAGATACAAATAAAGTGACACATATATCCTTATACTAACTAACAAATATATTAATGTTCCAGACATGCATAAAATTTGATTTACTAATTTAATGCATAATTTTCATGATTTCGCAACTATACTAATCAGGCAAGTCTTCAATGGGAATAAAAGTGATACCCACATCTTTATACTAATTAGACAAGATACGAATAACAACACACGTCTTTACACTAATTAGATAAAGATATAAATAACGTGACACACTAACCAGATAAATGTACAAATAACGTGGCACATGTCTTTATATTAATTAAAGAAATTATAAACTATTTATCCATAAAAATGAATTTACTAATTCAATACATAAATGCTGTGATTCTTCTACTATAATAATCAGGCAAGTTTTCAATACGAATAAATGTACAACACATATACTTTTACTACTTAAACAAATATACAAATAATTTGACACACATCTTTATTCTAATTAGATAAAAATACCAATAATGTGACATGTGTCTTTATACTAATTAAAAAAAATATATATACATTATTTATACATGAAAATGAATTTACTAATTCAACATTATTGTTTTGATTCTTCTAGCTAATCAAGCAAATCTTTCATACGATTAAACATGATACACACATTCTTATACCAATTAGACAAAGATACAAATAATGTGATATATATATATGAATAAAATGATATACATGTCTTAATATTGATGAGACAAACATACGAATAACGTGACATACAAATTTTTATCCTAATTAGAAAAAGATACTAATAACGTGATACAATTCGTTTCTCACCTATAAAAATAAAATAAAATTGTATTTTAATCAAAATAGTAAATAATTTTTTAATTTTTCTATAAAATAAGAGCTCAAAACAGTAGGCCTTTTCACCTTGATAGCAAAATTGTTGGGACTTGGGAGTGTGACATGAAAAAATATGCCTAATTGGACCCACTAAGGATCCTCCCATACATTGAACCTGCTAAAGAAGCTGCTTATTTTCATTTATATATAAGCACTTTTCTTTATAAGTACTTAATAAATAAACAAAGCTCCCCCACATACAAACTACATATGTACATATACCCCTCTCTCTCTCTCTCTCTGTGTGTCCTCTTGTATAAAGCTCTGAAAGCTGATGTGTTTTATGTGATCTTAGGCCCTGGATTCTCGGGTTAAGTTTAGTGGAAGGCTGTCTTTGAGCTCTGCTGTGCCCTATGGGTTGATTTTTTGCAGATAAGTGGTTCTGCTTCTTTATTTGATGAGAAGTAAAGATTGGATTTTTAATTTTTGATTTTGGTTTTGACTGCTGGGTTTGTTTTTATTTGGTGATTTTGGAGGTGGGATTTTTGTGGGTATGTGTGTTTGGTATTTTAGTCTGTGAAATTTGTGGTTTTTATCTTGTTTGTTTGGTTTGATGTGATGAGATTATTGGGTTTTTTGTACAAGTATTTGTGGAAGTTAGTTTGATTTGTGGAAATGCCTTGGTAGTGAAAAACAAGAAGTGGGTGTGCTTGGTTTTGCGGTATTGTGTTGATGGAACGTAGATGAATTGTTTAAGAAGTTGATGTGATGAGATTATTGGGTTTTTTGTACAAGTATTTGTGGAAGTTAGTTTGATTTGTGGAAATGCTTTGGTAGTGAAAAACAAGAAGTGGGTGTGCTTGGTTTTGCGGTATTGTGTTGATGGAACGTAGATGAATTGTTTAAGAAGAAGCTAGAAATGCATGTGCACTAGGGTTTTTATTGGAAATGGATTCTTGGTTGTGATCTAATTAGACTGATTAATCAAACAATGGAAGGAAATTTATCACAAGGAGGCATGATTCCAGGTGGGGCCTCTTTTGGGGGTCTTGACTTGCAAGGATCAATGAGAGTTCATCATCAAGCTCAACATCATCCACACACCTTACACCAACATCACCATCCTATTCCTCACCAAGGGTCTTCGGTTCGTCCCTCGATTCAAGAGGGATTTCCTCTCACAATTGGGACCATGCAAAGTTGTGATCAAACAATATCAATGGCTGATTACAATAAAGGAGAAAGAGGAAAAAATTCGGTGAGTGATGATGAAGATCCGAGCTTTACTGAAGATGGTGGTGAAGGTCATAATGATGCAACTAAAGGGAAGAAAGGGTCACCCTGGCAGCGTGTAAAGTGGACTGATAAGATGGTTAGACTTTTGATTACTGCCGTGTCTTATATAGGTGAGGATACGGGCTTGGATTGTGGTGGTGGTGCTAGAAGGAAGTTTGCAGTTTTACAGAAAAAGGGTAAATGGAAATCGGTGTCAAAGGTCATGGCTGAGAGGGGTTTTAATGTCTCCCCTCAGCAATGTGAGGATAAGTTCAATGACCTCAATAAAAGGTATAAGAGGCTTAATGATATGCTTGGAAGAGGCACATCTTGCCAGGTTGTTGAGAATCCTCATCTGTTGGATGTCATAGACTACTTAAACGAGAAAGAGAAGGATGATGTTAGGAAAATATTAAACTCCAAACATCTATTTTATGAAGAGATGTGTTCTTACCATAATGGGAATAGATTACATTTGCCTCATGATCCTGCGTTGCAGCGTTCCCTGCAGTTGGCTCTTAGAAATAGAGATGACCATGAAAGTGATGATGTGAGGAGGCATCAACAAGATCCTGATGAAGATGATCAAGATATGGAGACTGATGATCATGATGAGTTTGAGGAGAATCATGTTTCACATGGGGATAGCAGGATGACATATGGTGTGCCAGGGAGCTCTTCTAAAAGGCTGAGACAAGGTCCTGGCCATGAAGATAGTTGTCTTGGGAATTCCACGAATCCTCATGAGTTCAACAAAAGCTCTTACACCCATCCACAAGTTGCACAAGCTGATATGAATCAAGTCTTACCTGAAAATATGAGAGCAGCTTGGCTACAGAAGCAGTGGATTGAATCTCGCACACTTCAGTTAGAAGAACAGAAGTTACAGATTCAAGTTGAAATGCTGGAACTGGAGAGACAACGATTCAAGTGGCAGAGGTTTAGCAAGAAAAGAGATCGTGAATTGGAAAAGTCGAAGATGGAAAATGAGAGGATGAAGCTTGAGAATGAACGCATGGCATTGGAGCTGAAGCAAAAGGAAATGAGTGCTGACTTCAATTAATTGACTGGTCATCACTCTTTGTTCATAGCAATTGTGGTAATTGCATGTGGTGCACTCATTTCTGATATTGGTAAGCTGCTGTTGATTTTAACTGGAGTATCACATATTGGATGGGGAAACCTGGTTGGAAATCTTCACTCTTCTTGCATATATTGTGTAGAAGTAGGATTGTGTCAATACCAATGGCTAGTTTTCATGTTTTTACCTTTAGTGAATTAGTATGCCTTTGGTTGAAGAATTTTGTGGTGAGAATCTTCTTGTTAGACATTTTATTTGGGTTAATAATCATTGTAAGTTTGGATTTTATGGTAGACTTTTCTTTGCTTTTTTTAATTAAATTGTGATATATACTTTCTTCGATATATTTATATTATCATATAATTTTAGTAGTTTATAAAAATTCTCTTGTTTTTACTCACTGTGCACATTTTATGATTTGAGATTTATTGTTCTGTGCTTTGTTTTATTTAGAGATTATACGGTATTTTGTTTATCGTGTATTCTTTTTCTAAGGCCTGGTCGGTTTATGGAGGGGCGATTTCTTGAAGATTTTCTACTCTATGACAGGTCTTTATCGCTTTCCATGTTTAAATTTTTTTCATTGAAGAGGTATTTTGTATTTACTGCTATATTCTGACATCTTTCTATGTGATTTGCCTAAGAAAATCTTCGCCTTTTGGTTTCCTTCCAGTTGATCCCTAAACATGTGTTCATTATGTAGCACTGCTACCTATAATACGAGTTTAATATTGTGATGGTACTTTAGATGTAGCAGATCATGAATGATGGCACACTGGGATGTTTTCAACATCTTGGGAATGCTAACTGAGGAGTTGTTACAGATGTAGTAAAGGTGAACATTTTACATCTTTGTCTTGCCAGTTAAGACCTTAGGTTATCTATATAAAATGAAACATGAAGAAGAAAACCTGATATTTCATGCCAAAAAAGGAAGTACAGAAAGTTAATGATAAACTTATACAAGCCTTTTGAAAACTTGCTATTTCGTTCCATGCTTACATAAGTTTGATGATTGTCATGCCATTGAAGATTTTTCTAGCCGGTATGCTGGATAATAATTAATAATTTTTTCAGAGTTTAGATAAAATTATTGGATTCTTTTTTATTGGTTTAAGCTTTTGGGATCAGTGTTTACTCAAAATAGCGTTATAGCTTATTTAACCAAAAGGTCTTCTTTTCGTATCCCTCTGTTCTATTAGTCAAATTATAACATTGAGCAGCTTGGATCTATATTTAGATCCTTTTGCGCAGTATGTGTTTTTGGGTTATGTAAGAATTGTGCTAAGTAATTTTGCCACGTATGTGAGCTAGTGTTTTACAGTTTAAATAGAATTGTTGGCCTTTTCCTTTAGGCTTAGGCTCTTTTTATTAAGGGTTAGCATAAACATTTAAAATGATAAAAGTATTCAGAGAGGGGAGATTGGAGAATGTGTTGGCTGATTAAGCTGCATATATGCAAGTATGATTGGAGCCATAGATAAGAATATGTGTGGAAGTTTTTTATATTAATCTGAAGAAAATAGGATGAAGGTAAAATAGAAAGAGTTAGCACTGTACCCCGATCAAAGCTCGGGCTACTGTCTGTTGAAGTCAAAAGGAGTGTTCTCTACATTTATCATATAACCTATGTAAATTTGAAGAGCAATAAACGCTGCAAGATTTGTGATGCAAGTTTAAGCTCAACTTCTCACTTTTCTCAGTTGTGTTGTGTATTCACACACATATATGTATGTCTCCTGTATAGTAATTTGAATTTCCTCTAATTCCGCTACTTGTTGGGAGGGTTCAGATTTACCCGTTGGGCCTGGTCTGGAATCTGCCAGACTGAAAATTGTTCTTCAACATAATGAATTGCCTACTGCTCTGGTAAGCAGTCTTTCTCATTTTATCAAGTCCTTGTAAGACAGTGTAAGTTGATCTTGTCCTCATCTCTATTTTAGAGAATGCTCCAACTTTTAAACAGCACGGCATGTATCCTTTCTCTTTCCAACATGCACAGACCCTCACATGTGCGAGTACAGTTACACATCAAAATACATTTATGATGTTTAGCTGGTCAGTCTGTTGCATATTTTTACAGCTATGCATGTAGTGTTTATCTTGTATCTGTGAAGTTTTTGGTTCATTTCTTTGAAGGATTATTAATATCTGGTAAATGATTTCGTACATCTTCTGGAAGCTACGCAAATAAATTGCATGCACTTGACATATTGGCTATCCTAATGAGCATATAGTGATTTCACAGTTCATTTAGTAGTGTCATCCAAAGTATATTGCTGCACGCATAGAGGAGCTGCTCTAGAGCCGAACTGGGTGGTTAACTTTTCGCACCTTTTTCCTTAGCCTTCAAACTGTTACATTTTGCAATTTGACGCTTGCATGTTTACTTTCGTAAATGAAGTTGTGTGTAATGGATTAAGGACACTAATTTAGAGGCTGTAGTGTATTTTAGCTTCAAAGGAGGCAAGATATTGAAAGAGAAAATAATCTCCTGAATATTAGATGTTCATGTAAACTATGCTTAGTGCTTATCCGTTGCAAGGCATGCACTCGATATTGCGATTCGTGGCTTATTTTCACCTGCTTCAGGTTGGTTTCTCGGTATATTACATATGTGTTGTGAGGGTAGGATCGGTGTTGGATGCATGATTTATGAAGCTGGTGAGTTCTCGTTCTCATATTCGTTCAAGAAGCTTTACGTGAATTAATGAGACAAAACATTCGTGTTCTTGTTGTAAATGTCCACCAGTAACCAGTTCTGCAGAGAGTTTGTGAAATTCTATTTGTTCTTCAACACCTGAAGAAGGAAATTAAGTTTTGATCAATATTCATGCTATTGCTTTCTCCTCTGATTTCTTGACAATTATCTTGAAACCGTGTTAACACTTACCATTCTGTTGTGCGCTTGTTGCCAGGGAAGCTTAAAAAATGAAAATCAGTTCCGATTTTCTTGGCATTATTTTAGCCAACGTTGACACTACAGGAGATCTGATCTACAAATTACAAAATGAAGTGAACATGTTTTCTATGCTGATTCTGTGTGGTGGAATCAATTTCTATGAATAGGGTCACACTGTAGTATAAAGTAGGGTTTGCTTTTGGGGTTTTTTGCAAGTCCTTTATGCAAAATGCGTCTACTTTTTTTTGCAAGTCCTTTATGCAAAATGCGTCTACTTACTTAAAAAGTAGGGAATCAACCCATATAATCTAAGGCAATATCACTTACAGTCCAATTTTGCAAATTTCTTCTTACAATCGCATTGTGACAGCTCGCAATGTATCATGTCTGTCCAATTGTGAGTTGCTAGGTCGGGTTGTGAGAAAGAGTTTATAAGATTAGATTGTGGGTCGATAAACTAAAGTTTAGCCTCATTCTTTGACGATCTGGGATGTAACATTCAATGTTTATAATTATAGTAAAGAAGATAAATAATGCGACAGTTGATTGATAACTGTTGTTTCCTATACATAGTGAACGCTTGTAGCAATTCAGACCGACCATTTGGTCCATTTCTGTTGTTACAAACTGCAAATAGTAGTAGTTATCAGGTCATTTCTTTATTGAAGATTCAAAATATCTTTGATCATTCAATTCAAATACATTCAAGTAGAACTTTAATGATGCTGACTGTGGAAATAATTTAAATCAAGTGAAAAGAAAAATAGAGCCTTTAAAACAACAAAAGATGGGTTGTGTTTGGAGTAAAAAGATAAAAAAAAGTTAAGGGGTGTGTGGAGCAAACGTTACAAGTTTTGGAAATGTAAGTAAACAGAGGAGGAAAAAGGCTTATCCTGTTAATCAAATGGTGTCTCAATCTCACATCAAGAGAAGTGGACATTAGTAAATTGACAAACGTTTAGAAATAGACGTGAGAGTGAGAGTGAAAGGGATTGAGAAAACAATGTGGGGTTCTTTTGTTACTACTCTCACTTTCTTCTCCCAATTTTTTAACTTGTTATTTCGGTCACTTGGGGACCTCCATCCCCACTCGCCTTCTCCTTCCCCATTTTTACCCTTTTTTTAGTGCTTGCTTTTTCCCTTCTAGGTCCCATCCTTACTCTTTTTCACTGTATGCTTTATTTAAAAAAAATTTAATATATTATTTTGCAAGAAAATTCTCACATGGAGAAGTCCTAATGTTTCGTAATTTTGGACGTCTATTGCTAATGACGGAAATACATTCAAAGAAAAAGGTTTCAGTTTTTTGTCTTTCATTTGCGCTCTTGTTGTCATTTTTTTTTTTTTTTTTAATCAATGTAGTGTCCAGTTCAATTTGCATGCGTTTCAACTAATTTTTCGAGGCCCCAAAAGTCTGACTAGATAATCCTTCAGTGACCACTCCTATTAAGACCCGAGGAGTCTGAAACTTAGGAATTGGGGATTTTTTTTTTTTTTTGTTCTTTGACTATTAGGCCACCCAATTGTGGTTTAGGGTTTGGAGAAAGCCTTTTGCTCTTCTTGTTACAATATAACTAACGAATTAACAACACATCAATTTTATTTTATTATTAATTGCCTAGTTGTATTATAACAAGATACACAATTGAGTTTCTCCTATAACATAAACTTTTGTAAAAGAAAATATGTTTAGTTTAATTCAATTATATTATACCCAAAGAGTTGATCTAACAATCAAGGAGATTTGTTCAATTCATTGAGTTTATGGGTTTAAACCTTGAGACCACTTATCACATAATAACTTACCTGGTCTTATAGGTTTGTAAGGTATTTATTGAACTCTGAAGATTAATTGAGGTACACGAAAACTGGTTCAAACACTCTGATTACCAAAAAAAAAAAAAAAAAAAAAATCGACCTCGCTAGATGCTTGGTATGGTGGGGTTACTTGTGCTAATCACCTTGCTAATTATAGCAATTTAACTATTATATAATTGGGGTAATGATGATTCATAATTAGGGTTTTCACCTTGCGGGCATTATTATGTGTATGCACATGGTTCCATGTTCAAATGATTTATACACAACTAGTTTAAGATCAAAGTATTTTTGCCATTAATTGCAGCTTAACTTTGGGAGGAGTAAAATATGTATTATTGGAATAAAATCTTGTCACATGGTTTGATTGCTTCCAACTTACTCTCACAATCACATATAGAATAATCTAAATCAAGTTGAACAAGCCACTACACAGAACCTTCTATTCATTTGCTAACATACTTTCAAATAGGATATGGGGTATTTAAAAATATTCGTTCATTTTAATGAATATAATTCTATCAGACGGACATATAGATGATATAATACAGTCCGATTTTGTTCCAAAAGTAGTCATAGTGACATTATTTTTGTTTTATAGGCAATC